AATATGAACTTGTTATCCAAATCGGAGATATACCTTCATACGATACGTGTGATAGGAATGAGGATCATATGCTGCTTAAGAGTTACCCGGTGGATCACACACTGCATACGTGGCTTGAACTGACCCGAAGGAATTGTGATCAGTGGATCACTTCGAAACACGTGATGTGAACCGACGAATCGTATTCGCAAGATCAATTCGAAATAAGTGACGTGAACCGACCCAACGAATCACTTAATGGTCCATAAGAAGGATAGGATGTGACCTGAGCTTGGAAATAAGTCAGGATATTTTGTCGCAGTAGAGTACGCTACCTGGATGGTAGTGCGACACGTACCCTAGTGCGACAGAGGGTGTTTTTGTCGGACTTCGCACTAGAGTACGTGTCGCATTACAGTACGTGTCGCACTACAGTAAGATTACCCTTTCTCTAAGTATAGATCTTGAAGTGAAAATCGTTTCCGATTTTACTTTTAGCGTTGACGTCGCTGAAAATTTCCGTGGTTTTTAGATTTGCCAATAGCAAAAGTTCTTACTTCTTTCTGATCAAGGTATTCCATTAGCGTTGCATTACCATTAGCCTTAGGTAAAGGTATAAAATTCGATAACTGTTTTATCGTCTTATCGGTATCCGCGTGGTTTTCTGATCTAATTATACATCCGCGTTTTCCAACCAGTTTAAGTTAAATAAGGTTAACGGTGACCAGTCCTGTGGACAATGACATGGAGCCTATTACCTATGACTATAAATTTATAATAATGCAATTCACAGAATTGCATTTTGACGTACTTTTGGGAGTACCAAAAGCGCGCAAACTAAATATATTTGACGCGCGAATCTGTTTTTGAAAGAAACTGATCAAAGTGAAAGAGAATCTAATTTGTAATAACATCGCGCGGGGAATAATATTGGTCACGTACGTGTAATAATAAAACTATACTATAAGTATACGAATACCTAACGATTCCCTTAAAAATAAAGATAATCTATAAATCACTTGGGACTGGGAAGCTATTCTCGCACATAACTTACGAATCCAAAATTACTAGGTCTAGAGAAGGTTCCAAAATCAAACCAGCAATGATAAGTTTATCTTATTGAACTTTAATTAACTTTAATTTTGAATCGACACCAATTCAAATTGAACGCTCGAGAGTCTGAGAAGAGGCCCCAGCTAGGGCATAGCGTACATATATTAATATCCGTTTAACCTTAAAGTTAAATAGTCTGCCCATTTACGTTCAAGTCAACGCCCGTACGTAAACGTTTGAATGCCTCCGGGCTCCGAGCGTTCATTTTAATGTCCGTTTTTAACTTTAAATGGATACAATGAGATAAAACTATGTTGTCGGAATTAGACAGTAAATAAACAACAATGAATAAAAATAAGTCACTAGTATAGCAATAAGCAAATAATAATAAAATTATTGCTCCTTAATTCGTGAATTTTTCATAAGACGCAAACTTGTGTTAACATAAATATAATAACATAAATATAATAACATAAATAATAGTAAGGTCTCGCTGCTTGTTAACTGTGAGGCGGTTTCTTTTTTTGTTTATCACCCAGTCGTACAAGCTCCAATTCGTCTCACAGGGTGAGGCTGATGTCGATTGCGACAGCGCTTTCATTGGAAAACTCTGTAGTTCGGGTACCTCTCAACCGAAGTTGCTCCACCAAGAGACTGGACCGTCAGAATCTTGGCTAAAACTTGAGGCAGCGTCAGTAGAGAATAAGCCTCTTTTCTCTCGGTAGAACGTGTACTGCGAATTTAAAGTATCTTCTTCTTTGTTGCGCCGTCACACCACGTGTCCATGACATCTAGAAACTCCTTCCAGACATCCTGATTCGTGTGTTGATCATATCCCTGATATATAAGCCGGGTGAACACAAAACCCTACTGAATGTAGGGGGGAATGGAGCTCGAGCCACCTTTTGTTGGCAAGACTAAACATATCGCTTTTATAGTTTCAATTGCGAAAAGCAAAATTTGCTAACTTTAAGGTGAACAGATAATATTTGTAATAAATTACACCGATGAAACCAACAGGAATCTTAAGACTATTGTCTGAAAATCTAAGCAAGACTATTATCGGCTCGAGAATTGAGCATAAATAGTCGAATTCTATCCAGAAACCTAGGAGAATCAGGGGACATCCTGTTGTCAATTTATTGGAGGTCGACTTTACTGCTTTGATCACAGACGTCCGATACAGCAGCGGAAGCGCAAGATCTGCTGATGAGCAATTCCGTCGGTCTGTACCTAATCAATGACGGCTAAACTAGGTAAATTTGCGCATGAACCTTTCAATATTATAGATTATACTTTTCCGAGCCACCGTTGAGCCTGTATTGTTCTATGGCTGAGACCCATTGGATATCGGTTAGTTGCTGTCTGAAAACTATAAGCGTATTAATGGCTGTTACAGTAGGCCCTCAACAGTTGAATACCATCCCCAAGCCAACAGTGATGATTAGTCGAAGCATAATGAAACTAGCCAAGTATTTAGCGAGACACAATGATGAACTGGCCGATCAAGCACTTTTTGGGATTCCCAGCATAAAATAACAACACCTGTTTCCAAACAGTTAAAGTTAAAGATTATAAACTTACCGTTGCCTAATTCTGAGAACATGGAACGCACACGTGCCAATATGATTTTACGCGCAAATTACCCAGAATTAACTGAAACTGAATGCTGAAAGAGAATCTTATCAGTTATCGCGTCGCGCGGGGAATAATTTTGGTCACGTACATCATTTTGTGTTCCCTTTTAAATACATTTACCAGTGCAGAGAGTGGTTTCAGAAACGCAAATTCAACTTGCAAAGATTAATTTACCTGGGTACGGTACCTCGCTCAGGCTTTTGTATTTATTAAGTTAAACACATTGATTTAACATTGAACATATTATGGCGATTAAAAATATGCCTATAGCAGATAGGGCGGAATGACAGGTTCAGCAACGCCCATGAATTACAAGCAGCAAATTCTGCTACTGCTAGTGCTATCAGTATCACGGAGAATCGAAGCAAATATTATAGTGGTACCGTGGCATGTCCATTCTGGGTCAGCGTTGTATATACTTATATATGTTGCATGGATAAGTCCCTGCTTGCTGTTGGCGTTGCTGCGGCGAGGCTGGCTGGAATAATTGTCGGAGAACTCTTTGGCTTCGTACTCTCTTCACTTCTTTCTCCGCACAAAACTGTTCAATCCGTGGGAGGCCCTGTTATTCAAATAAAGTTCTGAACCCTCAATCAAGCGTTTAGTTCTAAAACTTTGGTAATGGAAATTGTAGTTTTGTAGTTTTTCTCATAAATATCGTCCTATCGAACTGATGATCAATAAACATCACGCGGTTTGCTACAATCAAGTTAGTATAAGGAGTCGTTTACATATCAGCAGAGGGGTCTTCCAAATTGCAAATGATTACGATTGACCATATAATATTGTAATTTTGGCACAATAGCACAATACTAATAGCGATACCCGGATTTAACATTTAAACAATTTGTAATCGTATTGCCATGCAGTGTTTGTGTAACTGTAGTACTAGTTGGTAATCGCTTTTTTTGTCAAAAAGTTAATATTTGTTTCCTTCGATAGTAAATTATTTTGTCCCAAATTCATATATTTTCTAATAATACAAAATTGTTTTTAGACCAATTATACAATGTCAATAAGTTATGTGGCATGTAAGGCGCCAAAGACAAATTGCTAAAAGGCTCGGCGCAACTGCAGAAAACTGCCACTAACTGCCACAAACTGCCACTAACTGCTACAAACTGCCACTAACTGCTACAAACTGCCACTAACTGCTACAAACTGCCACTAACTGCTGCAAACTGCGCGCGCGGTGCGTGGGCGCGATTGTAGCAGTTAGTGGCAGTTAGTGGCAGTTAGTGGCAGTTTGTAGCAGTTAGTGGCAGTTTGTAACAGTTAGTGGCAGTTTGTGGCAGTTAGTGGCAGTTTGTGGCAGTTAGTGGCAGTTTGTAGCAGTTAGTGACAGTTTCTTTGCACTTTGCTCCTCCTGTGTGTAATGTAATATGTATGTACTACGACTTAAACGTATTATTTGAGAACTGATTACTCAAAGGGCTTAAATTCATTTTGGCTCATCTTTTTACACACTACTGAGGACGAGGTAATGTGATTTTATTGCTAATACAGCATATAATGTGTATAGGTTTTGATGGCTAATAAGAATAAAAAAGATGTTGTGTCTTTAAACAGGGGGTTGCTGTGCTCTTTTTGAAAGAATTTATCCCCATGGGCCTGCTTGCGGACAGGCATTGTACCATGCCATGAATTTTTCAAGATGTGCCTGATTATCACTGAAGATTATCATGAAACTGTGTTTTTAAGCAGTGAAGATTTTTCTCGATGTCCAGCATCTCCCCACACAGAGACACAGTATGAAATGTGACTTTCGGACCAACCAACTTAAGCCTGACTAGCAGTGCCTGATGAATTTAATATGAAACATTTAATTTATAGTTGGACAGAGTGACTGTTAACTTTAAATGGATCACTATGCAATGAAACACACCAGTTGTTACAAGTAATTATCAAACCCCACAGACAACATGTTTGTGGTACATTCTGAAATAGAACACAATTAGTATATATTATATCGACTATCATAAATATATAAACCAAATATATAGCAATTCACAATCTCCCGTTCTTTCTTAAAAAGGCTTTGAAAGATTTAAAATATTAAATATAAAATAAAGGTGTCACAAGAAAGACTATAATCTTTCTAAATATAACTTCCCTCTTTGTGGATACATGCACAACATGTAATAGAAAATCGTTTTAAACGAGCACATTATATAAATCACAAATACCAATATATTCACTCTTTTAAACGAGCACATTATATAAATCACAAATACCAATATATTCACTCTTTTAACTTCTTTAAGTTTCAAATTATTAAGATTATTAAAATCCTTCACACACAATATTAAAAACTTTGAATACAATGTTTATTATTGGAATACAATTCTAAACAGTTCATTGTCAAATTCTCCTGACGACAATACCTCCCGTAGCAGTGAAGTTGGAGCTCCAGCTTTAGTCAAACAATCTGCAAGCTGTTTCTTTGTTGAAATCCAACAAACTGTCATTTCACTATTGTTCACTCGCTGTCTCAGGCAAGCTATTGGTATCCTCAATCCCTTGTCATCAACATTTTTCGAGGTTTGGATAGCATCATGTAGAGACTTGCAATCAGTCATTACAATGACATCAAGTTTTCCAGATAACATGATCTCACTCAGCTGAGCTTGGATCAACTCACATGTTTCCACTGCTTCGATCATTGCCCAACTCTCCGCTGCTAAAGTACTTTTACATACTCTCCGGATTTTTCTACTCTGCCATGTAATGGGGCAAGATTTTCCTGTAAGCGAAACAAGGAAAATTATGAAGCCTCCCTGAGAGCTTCCATCCTTCAAGTTTCCATACGATGCATCACAGAAAACCACTAAGACTGACTCAGGCAACAGTAGTTTCTTAAACCTGAGTGTTAGAGGATTCTTTTCTAAGAACTTTACTGTTTTGTTTACCATTTTCAAATCTGTGATGGTCCCTTCAGTCACAGAATTACTAGCAAAACATGTAGCATAAGCTACATCTGGCCGTGTCTGTGTTGATACCCACAACAACTGTCCGCACACAGTTCTCAGTTGTTGCTTTTCTTTCTCGTTGATTGGGAGCGTATTTCGATTCACTCGGGTGGGGTCGATCTCTATTCTTGAAATCTGGTCTGCATACCCCAGTTGTGATACCAGAATTCCAGATTGTGTTTGCTTTACATCAAGACCAGTATAAGCAAATTCAACTTCGACCTCCGTACTTAGACGAAACTTCTTCTTCAGTTCCCCAATAACTTCCCTTTCAAACTTCTTGCTTCCACTGAACATCAGATCGTCAACATGCACAGCAATGATACCCTCGAGTTTTCCTTCATCATACCAGAACATGAATGACTCATCATATGACGATACCACAACATTTAACTTCACTAGAGTATCACGAAGCTCAACATACCACATTCTAGGTCCGTCTACTAACCCGTAAATACATTTGTTCAGTTTCCAGATTTTCCTCGTTTCAGCTTCCTTCGGAGGAATAATGAAGACATCTCTTGAAATCTTCTTGCCTTGCAAGAAGGCAGCCTGAACATCGATGTGTTGTAACTTCCAACTTTCTGTTGCAACTATTGTAAGGAGCAGTCTTATAGAGTCCCTGTTACATGTTGGGGAGTCCTTTCGTATGTTGCTTCTATTTTCTTGATAACCAAGTGCCACTAAACGAGCTTTAACAGAACCTTCTGCTTTCTTTGTAATAACCCAGCGAACACCAACATTGGACTGTTCGTTTGCATCAACTTCCACGTAAACCTTGTTTACTTTGAACTTCTCAAGCTCTGCTAGCTTGGCATCTACAACTGCTTGGTCATACATACTCACACTGGACAGCAACACCTCTTCTTCTGTTTCTGGTGACAGGTCATCTCTCCAATTCACAGCAAGCTCATACCAATCCACACATTGGATGCTCTCCTCACCATCAAGTTGAATATTTACACAGTTTTTGTAACTGCCAGTTGATTTCCCCGCACGGCTATGGATATAAGCTTTATGCCAGATCTCACCATCCTCCTCTGGATACTTTGGAAGAAACTCCACGTGACTTCTTGCTTTAGGAAGTCCTGATTTGTGCTGAGGTCTGATTGTTGCTGTTGTCTCACTTTGAGGCAGTGTTTCTGTTTCCGGTACAGAAACTGCTGTTTCCATAGAGCAAGATGGTTGATCCTCTAGGAAATTTCTCTGCGTCTCTAATGGGGATTTTGGTGAACTTGATACAATACTCGGGTTAGGTTGCCCAACAACTGACTCTGAGGTAATGGGATATCCTGTTGTTGTATCCCTGGTTAGATGACATGCACTGCACTTATAATACTGATTTCCATGCTTTAAAATATATAAATGAGTAATGTCTCTCCCCAGTATAACACCTGGCCCACTCCATTTTGCAGATCCTTTTCTCTTGTACATCACCTTTTCACCGTTGCTATAATACTCGTCATTGCTTGTCCGAACTTGGCTTTGCAGAGCTCTACGTATCTTGTTGCTACTTTCACACTTTGCAAATGCTTGCCTTGCACTGTGCATTGCATTAACATTATCAGCCACGGTTTTACTCACCGTTGTTTCTTCTAAAGCTGGCAGTCTATCATCGATGACATTCGGAAGTGAAGGGTTACGGCCCATTGTCAACTGATTTGCAGAAAACCCACCAAACATCTGCATGGAGTTTTTCGCACTTAGTGCCCAACACAATGCAACTTCCCAGTTGCATTTTGAATCTTCCTTCGTTTTTACCATCATCTCTGTCAGCATCTTATGATGACGTTCTACAATCCCATTGCTCCAAGGGCTCTCGGCAGCTGAATTTTGCACATCCACATTGAATCTTTGACACATCTCAGTAAACTCCTCATTGGCGAACTCTCCACCATTATCAGCCATGAATTTCTTTGGATTTCCAAAGATGGATATCCATCCAGAGCAAATTCCTTGGATGATTGTCTCTTTCTTCTTATTGTAGATTATTCTAGCTGCTGAATATCTTGTCACCGAATCAATCATATGCAAGATATACACATTAGGAGTGCCAGGAACATTCTTAAGGTCCATTGCAACACATTCGTTGAACACCTTTCCTCTTGGGAGACCCACCACTGGTCTTGACTTGGGTTTCTTGTACATCAGACATATTTTACAACTGCTGGATACCTCATCAATTGCTTTCATGTATTCTGGTCTCTTAAATCCTGCAGTTTTCAGCAATGTTTTCAGTTTATCACTAGGAGGGTGTGAGAATTGTTTGTGGATTTTTTCCACTTTCCTCCTAATCTCCTTTTCGTCAGTACCAAACAAACCTTCTTCGCTGATTGTCATCACCAGATGTGGGGTCTTTCGATCTGGCGGCCCAATGGTCATGCGTCTTTTATTACAAAGAGGAACGCAATAGTGCTTTGATTTAGTTTCAAACAAATCAACACAATCTCCACTGAATCTCATTGTATCATTTGTGAAATCCAACACAGCACCAGCTCTCTTTAACGATGCTTTACTGAGAAGCAACGGCAGTTCTTTCTCAACAATGTTTGCTTCTATCCGAACATCTGTCTTTCCTATTCGCCCAGGGATGATAGTCTTTTCTGTGGAAATGACTTCGAGTCCATCCCCAAATCTAAAAGGCGTCGAGCAAGGTTCACTAACCATCATTTTCAGTTGTTTTTCTTCCAGAGTTTCTCTGTAGTGATTCACCCAGTTCCTACCAACGACTGTCTTTGTACATCCGGAATCAATAACTGCACATGCTAATGACTCATATACAAGAGAACCAAGGTTCGTATCACTCATCAGGCACTCTTCAGGAATTTCAACAACATCTTCAGATTCAGACACCACCATAAATGTTAAGAATGCACCCTCTGCTTCCATGGCCGTAACATTCTCAGCACCATCTTGTGCGAAATACTGTGCATTATCTGTTGAACTTGAAGAAGCTCTGTTCTTGCTTGTGCACCATCTTGCAATATGGTTTTTATCGCCACAAGCATAGCATCCAGTATACGCACTCTTTTGTCGATTATACGGATGATGATGATTCCCACGTCCTCTTGACATCCTTCTGTAGTTTCCTCGTCCACCTCTTGGGGTTGAGTTGTATGTATAGTTACATTCCTCATGTTCCACCTTCACTGATATTGACGCAGGCGGTGTGGAAAGGTTCGATTGGACGGAGAAGATTTTCCCGATCGTTTCACACATATCTTTATAAGTAAGATCCTTTACAGTTGCCAAAGCGAGATCATATTTTTCTGACGGAAGGTTAGCACTGTTAAGGAATCTGTAGGCTAGGACTGCTTCAGGAAGAGTGATTTTGTGTCTCCTGAGATCCGCTAGCAACTTCTCAAACTCAGATATGTAACTCTGTAGAGACAACCCTTCTGGTCTCACATATTTTTCAAACTTACCGTAAACTCGGTAACAGGTTTGAGCTGAGTCCTCTAAATAGATTTTGTCAAGATGACTTAAAATCTTCGCTATTGCATCCTCTGCAATTAGGACATCTTTCCCCAATGATCGTACTGTATCCTTTATCTTCCCTTGTTTCAATTCTAAGAGCAACGCAGTTCCTTGTCTCTTTTTCTCTAAACCCGTGAACTCTTGCCACAGCTGCAGGTCTAACTTCCAATTGCAGTAGTCCTGATCCTCACTGTATGCCGGTGGGGCTTTGTAATTACTAGTTACTCTAACTGTCTCTGGGGGTGCCATTGCGTCCTTCTCTGCTACCACTTGTTAACTTTAAATGGATCACTATGCAATGAAACACACCAGTTGTTACAAGTAATTATCAAACCCCACAGACAACATGTTTGTGGTACATTCTGAAATAGAACACAATTAGTATATATTATATCGACTATCATAAATATATAAACCAAATATATAGCAATTCACAGTGACTGTTATTTCTTGTAGCTTTTTGTTTAAAGTCCCAAGTTATCATAGTAGAGCACTTTGTTGAAAAATAAACGCATAGGTCAGCTATATTCAATTCATGTGTGTCTACGAATGTATGTTGACAAAGATACCAAGACCTATGTATTGTCCCATCAAAGAAATATTACGGTCATTATGTGCTCTCCATGCCCTGCACTCAATCAGTTAAACAAAAATTCAGTTAAACAAAAATTCAATTTTATGCCATTTATTACAGAGTAAACAAGTTTACAATAAATCAATTTGATATTTAAAGGAATCCTAATTCAATGTGTAGTATGGTTGTCACTCTTTAAATAGATTAGATATAGGTTGACGGGGCAAAGGAGTGTTCGTGCTGTTCGCTATTGCTCACACCAAACGGCAACCTAGTAAAATTTTTGTATGGACACCGGTCTCCATCACGATACAAAATTAGGATTGAAGAATTTATTGTATAACTTTTAGTGCAGTGGAGGAAGCGGTGTGGTGCATTAATAGAGTGACAGCCTACTGATTTAGAGTTGTTTTTACGTGAGCATAATGGGTATATTTTTGGACCTAAAGGCTTTACTATGGCAACTTTAAAATTGGTTCTTTTAATCATTTATTAAATATCACTTAAAAAATATATAAATCTGGAATCTGTTCACACTGTGAACCAGTCCTATAAAAAAAACCTCTTAAATCAAATATTTAAAACGTCTCAATAATGGAAATAGTCATACAATTAAGAAATTTACCAAATTCTTAATATCTACCTTAAGAGAAAAATACCTACCTAAGTCAATGTCTACCTGTAATACACTAAATATTAGGTTAAATACATAGGTGGTGGAGTCAGCACACATTTACCAAAATCAAAAATTTTTTAATAGGAGGAACCTGTGGGCCGAGAAGTGAGAACACTGGATTACATTTGTTGAAGGGGATTGTTTTCAAATGACAGCTGCATTATGTCATAATCGCTTGAAGTCCATGCTGAATCATTATAAGCATGTTGCAGCTTTAGAAGTGCCTTTTTCAGGCGACTTTTAGCAAGGCTAATCTTGTAGGAGTAGTCAAAAAGCTTAAGTTTAGGTGCAATTGTGCTCCAGATTTTTGTGGATCTTGATATGAAGTCATTAGATGGGAGTTGTGAAATGAGAGTGGTTTCCTTTCTAGAAGATGGCTGATAATGCTGTTGCAGTGATGCTGGGCACCTTAATTTCAGTATTTTAAAAACTTCCATAAAAGTGTGATATGTATATAAATTTTTGAAAGCCAGGATGTTTTGTTGCTTGAAAAGTGGTTTACAGTGCTCTAGTTGGAAGAATGTATGGTCAAGTGCCTGGCTGTCAAACTCTCTTGTTCTTGCACATGTTAAGAACTTGTTTAGGTATGCCTCTTTATCACCAAAGAGGACCCGTACGCAGTGCTTCTGAGACAACCAGATACTTGCTGTCCTAAAGAGTGCTGCATCACCCCAAACTGAGATACAATATGTAAGGTGGGATTCAAATAGTGTGTGGTATAGGTCTTTATGGAGTTCCTTCGGTACAGAGTCCCTAATTCTATTTAAGGTGGCAGAGGCATAGTTTAACTTTCGTTTAAGTGCTGTTATATGAGGCCCCCAGGAAAGCTGTTCATCAATAACAACTCCAAGAAACTTTGTTGCTTTGGTTTTTTTAATTGGAAAGCCATCAATATGGAGTTGAAGCGAATCTGGAAATTCTACTGGTTTACTAGCCTTTGGTTTAAAATGCATATAACAGCACTTTGACATGTTGATGTGTAGTTTGTTAAGGATCATATACTTTTTTATACAGCTTAGCAATTTGTTGCCTTTCTCATAAGCTTCTTCTACAGTTTTGCCATTAATAAAAATGTTGGTGTCGTCGGCAAATAGTATGAAAGTTCCTAAATCTGAGGAATTGGAAATATCAAATTTATGTATAGAAGAAAAAGGAGCGATCCCAAAACAGAGCCTTGTGGAACTCCATATTTAATGATGAGGTTTTCGGATTTTTCATTAAGGACTTCTGTGTACTGTGTTCTATTTGATAAGTAGCTTTTAATGAGACAGTTTGCATTGCCTCTTATTCCATACCTATCTAGTTTTGTAAGGAGTGTACTATGGTCGATTGTATCAAATGCTTTACTCAAATCTATAAATATTCCTAGAACATGGTTTCGTTTTTTTATGCTCTCTTCAATAATCCTAACAGAGTAGTTAACAGCATGGCTAGTAGAATGGGACTTGCGGAATCCAAATTGGTTTTCATCAAGGATATTTTGTGACAAAGCGAAACTATAGATACGGCTGTATATCACTTTTTCAAATATCTTACCAAATATGGGCAGAGTAGAGACAGGTCTGTAGTTTCCTACATCCTCTTCTTTTCCTTTCTTAAATATAGGAGTAACTTTCCCAACTTTCAATACATCGGGAAATACCCCGCTCATCATCAGTTTATTGAAATGTTGGGCTAAAACAGGGCAGATTAGATGAGCTGACTTTTTGATCACACGGATTGGGATATCACTAGATTTGCCATTTTCCAGCTTGGAAATTATTTCCATGAGCTCAGTATGTGAACAGTCAGTTAGGAATATAGAGTTGTTGTTGGATGGCAGGAGGTAGTCTTCAAATGTTGAAAATTCAGAAGCCTGTATAGGCAGGTCAGCTATTGATTCATTTAGAGTGGAGGCAATGGAGTTAAAGTATTTGTTGAACTCGTTTGCAATAACCCTTCTATCTGTTATTTTTCTGTTGTCGATTATAAATGAGGGTTTGATACCCTTTTTACACTTCCCTCTGAGTTCATTAATGATTTGCCATGTCTTCTTACGGTCGTGCTTATTTTCTATGATTTGGTTGCAAGAGTAAGTATTTTTTGCAGTGTTAATTACAGATTTGAGGATCCTTCGGTATACCTTGAAGGTTTGCTCGAGATCCTGGTTTCCATCAGGGTTTGCCTTAGTTTTAGATGTAATCCAGGCATCTTTTAATTCATGTTTTTTTTCAACGGCTGATGAAATACTATCTGTTATCCAGGGGTTATTGATAGGATTCCGTTTAGTAGTTTTTGGCTTTACAAGTTTGCATGTTGAATCAAGTACATGATCAAATAATTTAGTAAAATCCGAGAATTCATGAGAAGTGTGAAGCTTTGAGAGGTCAGTGTTCAGTAGGGTTAGGAATTTATTAAGGTTGGCATTGCTGAAGTCGTAGTACTGGACATGTTTTTCACTTTTTGGACCAACCTCGAATTCGATGTCAGTGAATTCAAATGTTGGAGCATGGTCACCAATTCTATCTGTTATACAACCTGAGAGAACACAGTTACCAGGGTCATTTGTGAGGATGTTGTCAATACAAGATGGTTTGCAATTTGGTCTCTCATGTGTAGGTATCGAAATAACAGGAGCGAAACCATTTCTAAATAAGCATTCTTCAAAAAGAGTATAGTTGCCATGACCAGCGTCACCATTCACTTTAAGAAGGTCAACATTAAAGTCCCCCATTATACGTACACCAGATTTAGGGAGGAGTTTACAATAACATAAACCCGCCACGCAAAGGGTTTATATAACAGATCATCCCGCGCTAGCAGGATGATCTGATAAACACATACGAGTGCGCGCAGCGCACGAGTTTTGTGTTAATATGTAATCCCGAAGCGCCAGCTGAGGGATTACATTTATTTAGCCCTGAGCGTGAAGTGTTTATGGATTATAATTATCTCCGGCGATTTCGACAAGGGATTTATACTTTAGAAGGTAAAGAAGGTATGACCGATCTGTCATAGTGGAGCAATAGCTTGAACGTTAGCAGGAACAAGAGCTGGAAGGAGAGCAAGCAAAACAATACTATTTTTAGGGCACGGACAAGGGTAGCTGGCTAGTCGCCAACTTCTCACGCCACGCGTTGGAGAAATTCCAAGAATTAGCTGCTTTGGCAACGTTCCCAGGAATTTGCGTGTAAAAGAAGTGGACGGTTACGATGTTTCATATCACGTGGTGCGCTTTCGTGTCACGTGGTATAGACTCGGCGTATGCTATTGGTGGCACGTGGTACGCACGTGACGCGCCCACGTGATCGCGCGTCTAACTGTTCTACTATTATCGAGTTCTAATCAGCAGTATCATTGATTATTGTAAGTCGGAGAATTGAATGATAAACATCAGTTACGACTAAAAAGCGGGCCGGGTTTATACAAATTTCCGGGGCGGGATGATATCACCTTGAGATGTTTATCTAACAGCGGGCCGGGCTGAGTGATAATATGATCCCGCGTCGAAATCCCGGAGATATTTATATATGTGATCAAATGACTTAAGGAAATTATGAATGTCACCATTTGGAGGGCGATAGATGACCCCTGAGATGAGTGTGAGCTTGCTGGATGATTGAGTGATCTTAACAAAGATTGATTCAATATCAGGCGTGCAGTAGCCAAGATTTTCTATGACTTCTGCATTAAGGTGATTTGCTACATAGAGGGCAACACCAGTCCCTTTCAGCTTGTTTTCCTGAGTGACCTGATAAAAACTGTTGTATTGCGGTATTCTGTATAGTTCTTTAAGAGGTTCATCTGTGTTTGTTTCAGCGATACCAATTACAGAGAAATTTAGTTCAATTCGTTTGAGTTCAACGTTAAGACAATCGAAGTTAAAACAATAAGTTTTATTTTACATTCCTTTAATCATAAATAAAATAAGAGCTTAAACCACGAATTAGTTAACTAGAAGTAAACTTGAGGAAATGTTCTTTAGTGGTTGTATATAATTATTTTAAAAACTTTCTTTGTTAGTATTTTTATTATGGAAAGTGGTTGAATTTAGTGAGACAAGGTCAGTTTCTCTATTGTCTCAGAAAAATGTCTACTTTACAGTAGGCAATGCTGAGTGGCAGGAATGACGGACCAAAACGCTTGGGGCTAACAATGGCCCATTTACAAACCACTTCAGACATGGCAATGATGTCATTTATGCTTAATTCGTCTGAAACTGACCCTACATCACTTCTAACATTCTATAAAAATCTCTTCTAAAATAGGTATAAAAATGCATAACACAAAACACACAAACAAAATGTTTATAATCCTTATATAATAAATTTCTATAGAACTTTTAAATTTCTATAAAACTAATAAACCTATATATATATTCATTTTGCACCCAGAGAAAGATGTGGTAGTTTCGATATTATGAACGATTCTATTTTATATTCATCTATTGCTGTACTCTGTAAAATTTGAAAAGTATTTAATAAAAAAATGTTCATGACAAGGTATGGGGCTGCTGCTAAGATATTACCGCTTTTTCAAGCTTAAGTAATCTAGGCAAGGTCAATTTTAAAGTTTTTGAATTTTGTCGAACGCTGTTTAAGGCTAAGTTCCACTGATTGCATTGCTTGTGGTAAGTACCACACTTCTTCTTATATGAAAGTGTCTTCGACTTTCTATCAACTCGTAGTGGTAGCCCACTGTCTAGTGTCTGTGTACATGACGCCCTGAGTCTGCGGCCCCTCCTATGCATATTAGGGGTTGTACCCTATTTCAACACTGCATCTGGTTGGCAAAGTGCACAGCTCAGCTATATTGTACCTGGCCCTACAGTATAACTCTTTAAATAGGGTCTTAATGTCACAAGCAAGCCGAATTGTAGCTGAAAAAATAGTCTTGTTGGGTAAACCTGCAATTACTTTGGTTAGAATCAATACTGTAACACAGGAAATTGTGAGGCGCAAAGCTGGAAAAGTTTTGAATACGTCTGATTAATCTGTTGTACTTCTACTCAGACTGATGATATGAGGGAAAGGCTTGCATTTATTTAGAGAAAAGAGGACTGTAAACATTGTTTAAAATCAGCTGTTATATTATATATAATAAGGATCGAAAGGAAAGACAGGATTAAAATGGTGTTTTCCCATACCTAAATTGATATCATCACTTAGGTTTTAGTTATTCATTACCGTTGCTCAAAAGAAACTGAGCCTTTACTCGCAGAATGGCTGAATCGTAAGTACATTTTTTCACTAAAAATCCATTCGAGCAATATAATTTACTTGTTATCACATATTCAAAATTGTCAATATCATAATTGAACATAATAAGATCAAGTCAGTATTTTCACATTTCACATTTCAGGGTCAAAGTTGCTGTTAGGGTTCGTCCCTTCAATGGGAGGTAATTTGTTTTTACATACATTTTCCTTACTAATTTTTAATTAACAAAAGAAAAATCACATTTAATCCTTGCTGTACTTCCATCATTACATAATAATAAGAAATAGCAACTAATTTTTGAAATTGTCTCATCCAGGGAGATCGATAGAGGCTCAAAATGTTGTATAAAGATGCAAGGCAAGCAGACAACCATCACCAACTTGGAAGACAAAAGTTCGTGTTAAACACTTCTGATTAAATTAACAACTCAATTAACTTACTTATTATCTCATTCTAGTAGAGCCCGTAGTCCTGATTTCTTGTGGCCTCTTACACAAAATATCTAAATATTATTTTACAGGTGTTGAACCAAAGGTGTTCACGTTTGACTACTCATACCAATCTCACGATGGGTTTGAGATGGATGATGAAGGAATAAGCATACCAGCTGCTGGTAGCAACTACGCTTCACAGCGTATGGTGTTCAACGATTTGGGGCAGGGTGTTCTGAACAATGCCTTTGAAGGTAGGATACTGCATTTAATCAATACATGATATTGTTCATTGTGGTACGACAGCAGTATTGCAGGCTGCAGCGCACTGTTTAAACTGACGCTAATAGGCAGAGGACAGGGTAGATCATTGTTATTGTCCATCGTAATATAATTTACATGCCCCATTTTTCTAGTCATAAACGACACGCATAACTAGGATCTGGTTTCCTATTTTTATCTTCACTAATTATTCACCCACTGTCCAATTATAGTCTACTTCGGATATGGCCATTAGTCATGTACATTTGTAAACACGTGTTTATCCTACCTTACCAACCATTAGCTGTATAATGTAGCAATTACCGTTACCATGGAGACACATAACAATGAAAATTGATCTGGATAAAAGCTTCATAGATTATTAGAGCTTTCAGTCTGTAATGTGCCAAAATACTGAATGTGGGGTGTTGCCCCTTTTTACGAGCTTTTGTTAGATATGATGTATTATGACGTTATGTGTGATAATGATAATGAACTGATTATATTCATTACTTCTCGAATCATATGCTCATTTTATAGCAAAATGTATGGGAGTTATGATGTTGTGCGAACCTAGATTACTTCATTTGATCGAGATATAATGTAATCAGCCCTTGAAATTATGCCAGAGGTAATAAGTTAATGTAAACTAGATGTATTTTGGCAGACACCAAAGAAAGGCTAAAAACCAGCAGTCTCCCATTTGTTATATCCTAACTATATTACATGGCGTTACGTTACCATGGCAACGGCATCTAATACCATAATACTCACCTTAACGTATTAGAATGTGTTTAGTAAACACTGCCCCGTTGACCACTCAGCTGCCGTTAATTCGGTCACATGACACGTGGTGACCGATCGGATTAAACCACGTCATTGGAATTGTTGTAACTAAACCTCTTCATTACTTCAGACGTTAGGGAATTTTTGGGGGAGCCCCTGTTAAGAGAAATATCGTTGTACCGTGGCTCTTCTTGGGGGACATACCTAATATGTCACATACGCTACATCTCACTGTATCCCAGAAATAGATTAAACGTTTAAACTTTATCATTGAATATCATTCAAAGCCTTGATTAAACCCTATTTTAAGTGACCTAATTAATTAATTAATTGCGTCATCTGTCGTAAATAACAGGGGATGAGGTTTTGTTCGAGAAATTAGTTGAGGTGGTGTCATGCATGGCTCCCCGATGTGGCTATTTAATGACGTAGCGATGAAACTTTCGACTTTTGAATAAATTTTGTTATTTTTTCTGATCACATTAATTAATAAAGACGATCTAATAGCCGCAAAGAGTCAGGAAGAAACCAATCGACATGTTACAACATACAACTTAATGTTTATGCTCTCATATTGTTTCTTTTGTCTCAGTAAAACAAATTTACTAGAGTACTAATAATACTTTAACTTAAGCTCGCAGTAAAATAAACTCTCGGCAGGTTTCAACACCTCTCTTTTTGCTTACGGTCAGACTGGAGCGGGAAAATCTTACTCTATGGTTGGTTATGGACCCAACAAGTAAGCATATTCTAGATCGTAGTAAACCTTTCATTTTCATATCCAAGTTATATCTTAAATTAAAAAGGTTCTAAAATCAACATGTCTTATTCGCCTACCATTTTTCAGTACTCCATTAAATATCACATTCCTACAAAACAATTTCAACTCACAGGGGTATCGTACCTATAACATGTGACGAGTTGTTCAAGACAACAGAGAGTAACACGGATCCCAACGTGAAGCACTGTGTCTCTTTCTCCATGCTGGAGATCTACAATGAGTGTGTCAGAGATCTTCTTATCAAGAACAATCCTAAGGGTGGTCTTCCTGTAAGTTTACTGGGTAGATATTCTGAGTTGATATTTACAGTGTAAAAGTAAACACGTGAACTGCTTTCATTTTACCAGATTCAAATCTTCTACTCACCAGGCTTCAGTTCTAGATCATTTGTTTAGCATTTAACTTGTTCAGGTTCGACAAAACCCCTCAATCGGAGCATTCTACGTACAAGGACTAACTAAGCAGGTAGTGGGCAGCTATAAAGCTATAGAGGCTAAGATGGATGAGGGTACTTCTAACAGAACGGTGGCTGCTACTGCTATGAACGCTACTAGCTCCAGAGCTCATACTCTTGTCACCATACAGTTTGACCAGGTATTTCCTCTTTTTCTCTTACATGCTTAAAACCTTTAGTACAGGGCAATTATTGTTGCACTTGATCTGAGTTTAAATAGTAGAACCTACTCATTTGTATTTGTTTCTAAGACATAAGAACTTTACTTATAATTACAGACTGATTAATTCCCAATTATCAAATGTATGAAAATAGCACATGTTAATTGCCTGCCATCAGATAAAAAAGAACGAGGTAGGGGAGGAGACTAAAAGGACAAGTATAATAAACCTGGTAGATTTAGCGGGATCAGAAAGAGCGGGAAGTACGGGGGCAACTGGAGACCGGCTCAAGGAGGGAGCCAACATCAACAAATCTCTATCCGCTCTCGGCAACGTTATATCGGTTCGTTTTAGTACTATAAAATGTATACATGTTTTTTTTTTCGGTTTGGGATTGGGAATAGATCCATATATTTTACAAATCATGTATCATTTCTAAAGAAAAGTGATTACGAAAATTTATTAAAAGATTAATTAAATCTAAAACTGAGAACACCATTTCCAGGCTCTGGCTGATGCTTCGTCTGGTAAAAAGAAGATAATGGTTCCATATCGAGACTCAGTGCTAACAAAGCTTCTTCAAAACGCGCTCGGAGGAAACAGTAAAACTATCATGATAGCCGCGTTATCTCCCGCTGACATCAACTACGACGAAACTCTCGGTACTCTTCGTTATGCCGACAGAGCCAAGCAAATTAAGAACAAGGCTGTTGTTAATGAGAACCCGATGGATAAGTTGATCAGGGAACTTAAGGAAGAGAATGATAAGTTAAAGAAGGCACTGGGTGGTGAAATTCCTGCAGCCGCACCTGGTGAGAATTGATCTCCTATACTTCTTCTATTATCTTGTAATGGTTGGGGTTGCCCAATGAACATAAATCTTGAATTTTATGTATTTATTTCCATTTAAATGATTTTGATGCTTGATTCGACTGGTAGACGAGATTGGTTATTTAATCATAGTACTAGTAAATTGGATTTTCGTAGGAGCTGCAGTTATGACACCTGAAGAGGCAGCTGCGATGCGCAAACAAATGGAGGAGGAAATAAGAGCTCAACTTGAGGCTAACGCGTCAGCTATGGCTGAGATGTCTGGTGAAGATAGGGTATGACAAAACTTAATAATAACTTAATAACATTGCAAATTTCTGTACATTGATAATCTTAAAATTTGAAAAGTTTCGTGTATTCTGATTACAGTCCCCATGAGATATTAGATATCCATTTATTGGGTTTATTTCATTAATTTACTTTTAGACTGAACGGATAATGTAAGGAATCCCAGATAATACAATACTAACTAACTAACTGGTAGTGACTAACTAACTAACTAACTAATTAAGTTACTAACTAACTAACTAACTAACAGTACATATTTAGACAGCGATAGCACAGCAGCAGTTTAACGAGGACCAACTGAAAGTGTTAGAGAAAGAGAAAGAGAAAGATAACACCCCTCACATAACTAATCTTAACGAAGATAACGCGTTATCTGGAGTTATTCATCATCTCATACAACCAGGTGACTTACACTTCATGTTTCATTCTATTATAATATTTATTTACTTGTGAACAGGGAGGGATCCAAGTCTGACAACACTTAACACAAAATATTACGGTCCTCCTACAGTATCTCCTACAGTATCTTGATTAGAAAATTAGTTTCTGATTTGCACTAATAATATTATTACTCTCTAAGGTGAAAACATAGTGGGGCGTAAGGACGGTGAGAACATTCCAGGGATATGTCTTAGTGGACTTAGCATCCAGAAATCTCACGCTATATTCGCTCGAGACGGAGATACAGGGACAGTAATCCTGAGACCTGGTGTAGTGGGCGCCAAAACAAAGGTTAGCAGTTACTATAAACACACTACCAGATAATTATAGGTCAACACTCAACACTCAGCAAACTATTTGAGCACAGCAATCAAACAAGTCGCCAGTAATCAGTATCATTTATTTCATAAAACGTGGTTGCAGGTGAATGGACAGACCCTGAATGGAGACAAAACGCTAATGCATCAGGACCGCATCTTGTTCGGTTCTAATCACATGTATGTGTACTACGACCCCGTCAACAAGGAAACAGCCGAGGGAACGCCCGACTCAATCGACTGGGAGTTTGCTCAGAAGGAAATCGCTCAAGCAAAAGGGTTTCAGACGGGTGCTGACGGCGAACTATCTAAGGGTAATTTTCGCTGTGTTCCTTAACCTCCTTAACTGTTAACATTCCATTCTTTTCCTGCAATCTTTTGAAAGTGCTGGAATTTAAACTTCTTGTATCGTCTTCCATATATAGATTCAATGATAAATGAAGGAAAGATAAGAAGATAATGATAAATACCCCGCTTTTTTTCAGAACAACAGCTGGCACAAGAGCAAGTGTTGGAATTACTTCCGATGGTCAGTGAGAGTAACGCTATATCAGAAGAGCTCAATAAACACAAGTCAGTCTGCTACAATACCTTTATTTGTGTCAAATTGTTATTATCATGCAATATTCATAGACCCTTCATGCTTGTGGATTTTATTAGCCTTAAGGCACAAATATAAGCTGTACAGAGTGAAATTAACGTACGCTTTATTGCCAAGGTACTATTTAAAGCACGATTTTCAGCAGCTAGTGCATATTTTGAACGAAAATATAGTGCGCGGCGCGGCCACCTTGTCTCGTGTTACAGTTTAGCTGGCTAAACATCGTGCAGATTAATCAAGATGCATCACTAATCATGAATGCAACTTCGTCATTAGAACTTTACGCATTAAAGGCTTCTTGTTCTAACGAAAAACTTCTCAGATCGTTTGAAGTGATACTCATTTCTGGTGCAGCTAACCCCACAGAAGGATCCAAAGGAACAAAGTGAGCGTTTTGACTGTGCACAAATTATTTCATATCTATTTTTTAAATGATGCACTTGAACCAAAGAAATCGTAACAAATACATGTTTTTTATTTTAAAGCTGGTCGTTAACTTGGAAATAGATATCAATCTTACAGAGTGATGGTAAAGATGAAGAATCTCCTAAACGGAAATACCTGGCTTTGGGAACGGGGCAAATTTATGAACAGGAGATATCTCATGCAAGATATGTACCAGAGAAATCTTGATGGGGATGAAACTTTGAAAGATATGCCCGAAGACCAAGATCCATTCTGGGACCCGCCTTGCGAAGTCCTTATCGGGACATCCAGTGCGTTTCTTCAGGCGCTCGGTTACGGTATTGACATGGACGATCCTATCTTGATTACAGATTACAAGGTATTCCCTGTCCATATTTATGCTTTTTATCCAAGCGATTTTAGACATATTGTATATTTTAATATTTTTAAAAAGTTAACTTAGTTGAGCATCCATACCTTAAAATCAGCCATTGTTCATTAGTGATTGTGTATGTGATTAAAGCATTCATCAGGGAGAGGATCAGGGTCAAATGTTTGTAAACATCTCACCGTGTGACGAAGAGGGGAAGTGCATGGGAGAGGAGTATTTTGTGGAGGATTCAAATGAGCTCCTTGGCAAACCTTATCATTACAAAGTTAGAAGTACCTCTTTTTGAACTTATTATATAGTATATACAGATAATTTGTTCTTATTTGTTGTTTAGTCGGTGGTCAATCTATACATTTTTGTCGTTTTACACTTCCTGCTATGCATGCACACGTAAAAATACCAATTCACATCCTTCATAGGTTACGATGAAGTCGTGTGAGATACGTGACAGCAGATTTAACGTTGGTAGCTTCATCAAGTACAAGATAGACGGTGATGAAGAGTATACCGTCACCCCAACCGTCAACCAATCTCTTGCACCGGAGTTCAATCACAGTCGAGTTGTTAAAATTGACAAGGTAATATTATATAGTTGCTATAATTTCTGCAAACTTCATTAATTTTTGCATTTCTGAGTGGAGTGGAGTGGTTACAGGTTAATGCAAGATCCGGCCATCTTTTGCAACTCAATTTATACCGATCGAGGATCCCTCAAAGTATAACCAATTTGTCTGGTAATAATAATTGAAGACTCCCTACGAACTGATTTGGAAATTGCATATTCACCTCATTTAATTGCCTAACCGCGTTAAAGAGGGATATTTGTGCATGCTCATAACCGCCCTGCTGCTGAAAGAAATAAAATCATAATTGTTTTCTTAATTATTTGTCTGCGCCTTTGATAGTAATGTGTGGGAATTCTTTCATCAGGTAACCCAAGAAACGCTGGAGTTCTTTGAGAACTCTTGCATAACATTCCTGCTGTACGGTTGTCAAGAGGACAGAGAAAGCGATGTTAAACTCATAAAGTTGACAACCAAAGAACTGAGACAAAGAGAAGAAACGACAGGGAACATGAAAACCAATGCTCTGACCCGTCAACTCACTAAAAGTTAGTTTTTTAGGCGGTTTTAAATAATTTGTCATTAAATCTGATATTAGGTTTCTGCCTGACATGAATAAATGTTGACCAATCTCTGTACACTGACTTCGTTAATAGGATTCCTGGATATTTATTTTAACACTCAAAAAGCAGCTTTGGATTTTATAGTGTATAAGAGTCGTTTTATTATCAGATACTGTTGACGAATCAGCAGCACTGAAAACCGAAATCTTGGTTTTGAAACGAAGAAACGACATACTGGCGAAGAAAGAAAAACGTATTCAAGGCATCGTGACAGCCTGGGGCAAAAAGGTAATAAAATTACTTTGTGAACACACCAACTCCAGAAACCAAATTATTTCTCATCATTGAAGGTTCTCCGTTCATATGGACCATACAGCCTGATAATTTATAACTTGTTGATTCAGCCGCCAGAGGAGCAACAATTTGAACCGTACCACCGGGCTATATCTGCCGCTGCGTTTAACACTGGAACTATGCTGAGAAGTGCAGCTACTGTTATTACACAGGTTAAATTCATTATACCTTCAACTTAACTGTGACAGCAAATTCATCATTTGAAGCTATTAATAATAGATGATTATACGTCAATTATATCTGTTGTGAAGTTTACCTCTAACCAAAATACAGGTGATAAAAGCCCAGAAGTTGGTAGGCGCTATGACGGGGGTTGACGGGGAAGCTCCTATAGTCAGCAAAGCAGCTGGTAGCAAGGCCTGCGTCATGATGTGAGGGGGAAGAGACAACCAGGTCTGCTGTTCCCTTAGAGTGCTAGTTGGGACTATTTATTCAGTTGGAAATTAAGATGTGAAACACGAGATATCGATGAAGGATATCATTGATCATGTTAGATATTGTAGTGGTATTGATCGAATGTAACGTCTAGATTGTTCTAGAATGTTCTAGATTTTCTAGCAGGCGTTGTGTGGCCCCGGGTGGACTGTAAGAAGATTAGATAAGTCTGCAGAGTCCGGAACCAGTTAAAATAAACTTTAATAGTTTTTATTGTCTTGAGAATTTAGGTATACTTATACTTACTTTAGGTACATTAGACTGACATGACTGACGCTATTCATTAATTTTGAAGATCTTACTCCTTTGTATTCCATTGTTCTAACTAAAGTTAGCATTAATATGTTATATTGTTATTTAATGTTATTGTAGAATTGCAGATAAGAGTTAATACTTGATTTACTTTAGTGATTTCTCTCGTTATGCTTACAATATAATTCAAATTTTATGCACGAACGACATAATGTATTTCCGTAAACTTCAGTGACAATATCCCAACTCTTTTATTAATACTACTGTGAAGTGTGAACTATGAAATTGCACGTTCTGTAATTTATAAATAATTTTTGAGTTTTGCACGTTTTGTAGTTAATTTCCGATTATGTGAGTTCATTTTCTACTAACAAAATTGTTTTAATTTTGACTTACAGCCTACTGAAATAACATGATGATTGCTAAATTTCGTACAATATTAAAAAGTCGCCTGGTTCACTGCATGTCTGACAGTTATCAAAATAGATCTGAGAAAATTTAAGCATATTTTAAATACCAAAGTTAAATTGTAACCAGTGCAGGAGTATGTAAATCAATTCCATGCTGATATTGGGATGAATCAGAGGATGGCAGTAAAAGGCATGTTCCTTGGAGAGGGCTCCAGTCAGCGACCATGATGTCGCTAGAAGAAGAGGAGTAACGGCCATGAAGCTACGAGGGTGATTTGGGAAAGAGCCACGACCCCTATTGTTATGTGCTGCAGTGTTGAGTGCGGAGAATTGGGCATGAGCTGGTGAGTTTAACTTCGAATTTTATTAATTCTACTGTTCAAATTCAATAGCTTATTATCAAAAAGATATGAATAAAAAAACATATGATGATGATGATAACCGGATATCCGGCTGAATCCAGTTCCAGTCCTGTTCCAGCAAAAAAAAGTGTAGTGTAAAATAGCCTTAAATAGCCTAAATAGCCTTAAAAAGTGTAAAAAAGTGACATTTTTTCTCACCAAAGGTATGTTTTACCTTTGGAAATGTACTATGTGAACTGTGAAGACTGATAGGAAAATAATAGGAAAAAAGAAGATTGTTAGAAGATAATTTTGTTAAGTGTAATTATTATTATTATTAATCAACTATTTACAGCAAACACAAGATAATAGAAATTAAATCATAAAATCGAGTGGCCGAGTAGTCTCGACTCACCCATAACTTCTCCAAAGACGTCTATCATGAGCTTTGTACACTAAATCGTTGAAATTACTTAAACTAAATCTTTTATTTACAATCACAATAATTTGTTTTGTCATAATGTCTTTTAATAATAAATCAAATAAATTTGAACGAGGTCTGCCCCTCCTTCCTTTGTAGTCAAAACATCCTAAACATGCAAATCTGAAAGATAAGAAGGCGGGAGTGTCATCACCGCTTCTGAGAACGTGCCCAAGCATCTTCCATCTTGCTTTCTTGATCCTTTCAGTAAGGGGTCTGACATTACATCTCTTATATAAATTCTCGTTACTGATAACCGTAGGCCAATAGGTGTTGATTATCTGTCTCAGATGCTTCCTTTGAAGAACGTCGACAGATGCCATTACGGTTTCAGGAGCAGCCCAGCTGCTACAGTTATACAACAACACTGAAGTGACAAGAGCTTCGTACAGCTTCAGCTTTCTACTCTCACTGATCTGAACAGAACTATTCAACCAGACTTTCTTGTAGGTGTAGAAGGCAACATTGGCTTTGTTGCGTCTGTTGACAATATCTCTTTCTGAGCAGAGCTTTGATCCTAATAGCACTGACTCTCGCCACTCTTCATCTCCTCTAATTTTATTGCCATGGGCATCTAAAGCATCTGTATCTGCCAAATACACTCTTGTAAACACCGTCTTTGATTCGTTAACAAAGAGACTCCAATCCTTTAGTATATCACTGGCAATCTCTAGTATCTTCACCAGGCTCTGACCATCTTCACTCAGAAGCTCAGCATCGTCAGCATAGGCGGACTCTAACGGGAGGCCTCTATCAGAGACTGGGGGGTTCGGTCTAGGAATCGTGACACTGATCACGGCTCTGATGTGATTCAGGGCACCGGCAAGGGTCAATGTAAACACTTTACCTGCCAGACTGTCTCCCTGGTAAGCGCCAATATTTATCACAAATTCACCAGACTCAGATCTGTTGACCGTCACCTTGAGCTTTGTATTAGAGAGGAGGTACTGAACTAGGCGAATGTCGTCTCTAGAGCATCCTGCATCAATGAGGAGGTTGATGATGGTCTGTCTGCGGATAGTATTTAACGCAGCGGTCATGTCAATGTTGATTTTACTATACTCAAACTCGCGCCTGGTAACCACTGATGTCAACATTCTCTGAGACCATACCAGGTCAGCACAACTGCGACCCTGCTTGTATGCCGCCTGCCAAGGTCCAGTGTACATATCAACGTGGTAATTGATTCTGTTCAACGCTACGAGGGATAGGACTTTTCTAGTTCCATTTAGCAATGTGAGGGGCCGGATAGACTTTATCGGACCTCGGGGTTTTCCTGGCTTCTGAAGGGGTGTCAGGATACCTTCTCCAATAGCTGGGATGTATGTGTTGGTCTCAAAGGAGAGATTATAGATCCTAGCCAACTCACAGTGGAGGGGATATCCAGCAGCTTTCATTAGCTCATTAGGTATACCGTCAGGGCCACACGCTCTACCGGATTTCAGCTTCATAACAGCACGGCCAACTTCTTCAGGTGTTATGGGACAGAGGAGAAGTTGTAATACTAATTAAAAGTGTAAAATAGTGTAAAATAGCTTAAAATAGTGTAAAATTGTGTAAAATGGTGTAAAAAGTGTACTTTTTTTACTACACGTTTTACTACACCATACACCGAAAAAGGCAAAAGTGTAGTGTAAAATAGTGTAAAAAAGTGAAGTGTACCCCATCCCCCAGATATGAAGCATCTTGCTAAGGGGCATCCAGAAAGTGCTCTCAGTGAACAGTGAACTCATGGTAGCTTGCAATCTGTCAGCGAATTTTAAAGACCCGTTGAGATTTTTTCGGGTCTTTTAAACTCCTTTCTTTGTGTCTTTGTGTTACTAACACAAAGAAAGGAGTCAAAGCAGCTACCCAGACCAATGACAAAACAATGCTAATTTTCATAAGCATTGCAAGCAGAGGGTTCTTACTTTATTGTGGCAAGCAAACCCGTTGCTAACTCCCCTTATACCGAGGATTAAAATAAAAGGCCATTATATTCATACGCCATTAAAAATATTATAGACATTATCCTCGGTTATATCGACACCACGAAATTGTGAGAGCTAGGGGGTTTTGGTGTTAATTTTATTTCTAGAACAATCTCTACATTTGTGCTACGCAAAGCGTAGTAAGTGTTTGAACTATACGTTTTGATTTTATTACAACTCGTTTTTAGTTCTGCTCGCACAATATATCAGACAGTGACTGCTGCCCGGACAGCAAAACGACCAGTGACCTCTGCAGCTGTAAACACTGTCTTATTGTATAAGTCCACATTGCTTTTAATGTTAATGTTATGATTGATAAAAACCGTAAAATAAGGATTAATTCAAATTTTCCGGCAATTTCCTCTTCTTAACACCTGGTACCGGTCCGGAAAAATATATTGATATCCGGAAAATTGATCGATATCCGGCCGCGGCCGTTTCCGGTCCGGAAGCCATACTCCCAGACCGGTCGGCCCGGTTCCTATAACACTCTTAGTCTTAGGCTTCGACTAAAAAACACCAAAATATTTTTACTGAAACTTCATACAACTCTGCTATTAAAACATTGAAATATTCCAGATTGGTAGATGATAGTTCTTCTGATACACCAATGTTTGATACAAATCTCTACAAAATTTTGGTGCGATCTGGTGAGTTAGGTGAGCGCCCAATTCGGGCCAAGACCTTCCAGCTAAAATTGTCATCAGGACGGGAAACTGGAACACCGTTTCCGGTGGAAACTAGATCTTAAAAATCAATTGGAATACTCGTGCAATCAAGCCCAACAACCCAAAAATAAATCCTTCATTGGTTGGGTGATCGATCAGTATCAAATATGCAGTAGATAAGAGATGATGTTTTAGCTGATGTCTGATGTTCGTACTTCTTTCAATGTAATTTTCCAATTTTCGCAAATCTACTATTGTCTAAAGCTACACGTCATGAGCTGAACTCAGAAGACCAGGTATTTTCGTCTAAAACATTTTTGTACACCCTGACTCAGCATACGGCTTCATGTTAATCAAATCAGCCTGAAAAAGACTGAAACCCAGCTGCACAATCTAATAGCACTTTCACAACAATAATTGTTCCCGTACAGATTTTCTTCTTTTATCTCCCTGGAAGTTTTATCCGTTTCGGTACTCGGGAATTATAGTTTGATCATGCATTTCCGGTCCACCGCAAATACCAGAAATACAAGCTTAAAGCTTACGCCGAAGCATACACCACCGAAGCAAACACCACCAAAGCATACACCACCGGAGCAACAACCACCAAAGCAACAACCACTGGAGCAAACACCACGTAAAAGGCCTGCGGTAAGACATGGTGTCTCCAACACTGCCACCACTGCAGAGGGAGGACTCATCACAGACAATGGGATGTTCTTATGTGAATCATCTTCTGTCAGCCTGGTCAACCCCTCAAAGACTATGTTTGGAAATGCAGTGGAATGCGATAACGGCCGGGTATATTCGTTAGATTTAGAAATACCGTCCTCAGCGACCACAACATGTCCCCCCTCCACTGGATTTACTGCCACAGATTATTCGCTCGAAACGTCCTCGAATTCTTCCGGGTCGGTTCAATCTGTGTTTCACAGTGCAGAATCACGAGTTGCTGCTCCAGTTGAAGATCTTAAAAATATTCCTTCAAGTTCGAGGAAGGAAAAGAATTATAATGCTCGTGAGAAGACTAAAAAACACCAAAATATCTTTGCTGAAACTTCATACAACTTACTTTCATTCAACTCTGCTATTGAAACATTAAAATATTCCAGATTGGTAGATTATAGTTCTTCTGATACGCCAATGTTTGATACAAATCTCCACAAAATTTTGGTGCGATCTGGTGAGTTTGGTGAGCGCCCAATTCGGCCCAAGACCCTCCAGCTAAAATTGTCATCAGGACGGGAAACTGGAACACCGTTTCCGGTGGAAATTGGATCTCCGGCTCGTCCCAACCATCAATTTGATAGCTTCCTAGGAACTTACAGTGGTAGTGTTTCGGAAACTATAAAACAGTTCCTTGAAGAAATTGATCACGTCTCTAACCCTCCCTACATATCTTCCCACAATCATAAAGGCAACTCTGGAACAGATTCAAAAGATCTCCCCAAACTGGAGGAATTCCCACTTCCATTAGACATCATACAGTTGTCACCAAGT